TTACTTAGTACATGTCTGGACTTTGGGAAGAATCTATTCAGAAATGGTATCTAGATTCTTCCCAAAGTCTAGACATGTACTAAGTAAGCATTGTTTTAAATCCACTTACTTTCTCAATCTTGAGGGCTTGCGTCTAGACATGTACTAAGTAAGCATTGTTTTAAAGTCTAGACATGTACTAAGTAAGCATTGTTTTAAATCCAGATTTGATCTTTGAGAGCTTGTTCTCAATGAGATTTAGGAACTTTAAGAAACAAGTGGCTGAAAAGCTATCATCCAAAGGCATATAACAAATCTAGATACTTAAGGATAATCGATATGAATTTCAACCAACCATTAAGCTAAGCCACAATCCTAATGGCTTGCAAATCTACAAGTAGAGGACCACATAATTCAGCTGAAGTTACAGGTTACAGTCCTATGGCTGTTTATTACATACACTTGTAGAAAGTGCTATGTATATCTGTATTTGAACTTAAGAATATACAACTGCTGATAGATGACTTAGTTTTCTGTAATGTAGATATTCTCTTCTTTCAGAGATTGGATAAACTTTGAAATGAAAGAAAGCACTTTGATGTAAGACAGATTTAATAAGGTCCTGGTAAGTCTAATTTGAACTCAGGTTATTACAGTTTTCTTTTTTATTGAGCATTATCAAGGTTATTTCTAATGGTATTCTCAGATAAGTGTTTCAAATGTTTTAAACATCATCATCTTGTTAAATAAATAGTTTGTTATAATGCCTACAGACAGGGAAACACTTTGTTAGTAGATACAATTTCATACAAGTTTAAATTAGAGACATCACATAGAATGCTGGGTCCTAACTCTACCATAACTAGTGCCATACCAAGTCAATAAAAAGCTGGTGTAACCGTCCACGTCCCCTCTCTGGAGACATTTTCTCCTCTACAATAGAAAAGAGTCTTTTTCTTTCTTTCTTTTTTCATTTAACAAATACGAATTTCCTAATGTTTGTCCTTCAAGTAGAAGACCATAACAATTTCAATTAGAACTGTTGACTGTTCAGATAGCAATCTGTCATAACTAATCTGTGCACCATCCATTTCACTTGTTCTATGGTTTCATGAAATATATACTTGATTTCATCTTGATTGATATATGCAACTCTAATCAACAATGCAAAAATATTGACACCAGAAAATGAATAAAGATCAAAATATATACTAACCTTAAAGCTTTAATGCCCATATCCATGAGGTATGACCTACTCTCATCATCATCACTAGGACACTTGTCAAATTCTTTCTTATAGTGCAAAATGTCATCTCGTAAATGCCCAGCACCAGCACACCTTTCAAAAAGCCAGACAAGAATGAGCCAAGCAAAAACACCATCATGAATACAATGAAAGATGCGTGATAGAACACAATACAAGAAACAAAGAAAAAATTGAATGGACTCAAAACTGAAAATCATGAACTAATAACTAGCCAATAGGACAAGATTACTAGCAGATTTCAGGATTAGAGAAGATATAGTACTAGGCTATTGAAGCAAACGTATATGTATAATAATTAAATATATAAATAGACGTGAAGAAAAAAGATGCAGACCTTCAGTTAGCAAATATAAACAATGATGCATAATGTGTAGGCTATGTTTCAATTATGAATAACCAACTGACTGCATGTTCTCTTGATGTACTCTTGTTTAACTCCCAGATAGTTCAGCTGAAACTGCAACAGCATTCTTTCACTATGGAAAAACTTTGTTGCAACATGAAAGTATATAAAGGATAAAACATGCAGATAAGTTAAACATGTCATGTTCACTAAGCAGTATAATATATTTAAAATAATAATTATTTGCACAATCTGTAATTTACTAAATCTTGAGCTTGACAAGAACTTGCTGTCAAATAATATTGAATATCAAACATCAGGAAATGACCTGAAGTAAAGCAATGCGAAGACCCGAGTATGCCATGATAGCACGCATGGTGACATGCCTAAAGCAAATTTAAATTAGGCTGGAAGTCTAGTGCAGAGCACATGTTACAAGCATGGAACACCACATAAGACTAAAGAACTTGAAGAGTTCTCGAGATGTTTTAACCTTGATTCTTTGTTGCAAAATAGGAAAATAACAAAAATTTGCAAATTTGGACAACAGTAAACAAGTTGAACTTTGGAGAACAGTAAACTTAAGTAATTATTTGTTCATGACATGCATATGTGAAACTAAAAATACATGGAAACAGATTCTGTCAGTCGATAACAGCATACCTTTCAATTATCATGTCAACCTCATCTTTGCTCTTTGGACCATAAACCAGCACTCTAGTGAGGCTTAGAATGTCACGGTAGTCACCCTGTTTTAAAGCATCTTCTCCAGATGACTGAAAAGGCAAGGTTTGAAAGGGTGAAGTTGACACAAAGTGTGTCTCGACTGTCTGCTCCGATGCGAATTTCATGTCAGCACTGAGGCCAAGGCATGTAATAGCCATTGCATACGCAACCCCACCAAAGCCAGTGTGTGAAATGAAAAGGGAATACCTAGCAAATCTGCAGAGATGAACTCCCATTAGTCTGCACTGAATCAAAAGCAGTAAAGCAACTATACCTATTCACTTAATACACACTCATCCTTGCAATATTGTATTGCATCAACGTCCACAGCTAATGCTTCCCTTTCTCTTGTAAGAGGTATCCTTTTATATTCAATTCTATAGCCATCAGCTTTCAATGCTGCAAATACTTCGGCAGGAGTCTTCACATTATCTAATGAAATCTCTTCCCAGTAACCAATCACACTTATCTGATTTGAAACTGGATTATACTCTTCACGATGCAGAAGCATTTGGCCACCAGATTGAGTTACCTCAGCAAATATATCCTCCTTCAACCTTGCTTCCATATGTTCAACCTGGACAAATAGCAAAATGGAGTTTGAAAACATTGATGTCAGTTGAAGTATAAGGAGTTTTAACATTGAACTTACCAGTGGACCAGAAATCCCAACATGTTTGAGTGTATCAACAGGCCTATCTAATTCTCTAAGAACAAAGGGTGAACCATTAATGTAAACAACAGCTTCCTCTCTCAGATCTGTAATGATAACTTTTTGACCATGATTCATGCTAGCTGGATCACCAGCACCTAGATAGGATAAAACTTCTCTTGCACCATCAATTGTTGGAGTTGCCATACTATACACTGGATAAGCATCCACCTAAACACCACGGTTATGCAGGAATAGAAAAGTCAATATCCAATTCAAAATACCATATTGCAACAAATTGTGTTTGATAATGTACATGCTAGCTCTCTGAGTACTCAGACGTCCATGAGGAAATACAAGTTAAAAAATGACTGATCAAAATACAATTAAATATTCATAGAATGAAATTTTCGAGAAACACTATCAGAATCATGATAGCCAATGACAGTCTGGATTTCTATACCTAGAGTTGCATTTTTCAGGCTAGTTACCGTTCGTGCATAGATTTAAACATCTGCTGAATTGTCACAAACAAATCTATACACAAGGTGTTCGATGTAATGTTTGTGTATATTCGTGTCTTTCGACCTTATTCATTATTTGCACAGCATGTAGAGGGCTTATAGTAGACTTGGTAATCTCATTTTGGATGGATTTTATGGCTATTTTAGTCTTGAAAACACAAGTTGTGTATAATCATCATGGAAAGGCAAAACTGTCCAAAATCAGGTCATCCAAACAGCCATTTTGGGGATTTTCTAGCTCCGTAGACTGGTGCGGAGTGTCAATTAGTATAGCAACCTGGAGCTACCCAAGTGCCACATGGCTGGATAGGCCTTTGGGATATTGTTTAGAGCTGGTTCACTACCTTATTCCACAATAGTGTCATATGGGCACTTGTGAGGACTTTTGGTTGCAACAGACCATCTTGGACCCTTTGTCGTATGATTGTTTAAAGCTTGCAAAGTCTACGTTTGAAATTTGCATTGTCGATCAAGTGTTTGCCGAAATGTCTGCTTGTGTGGGATCCCGATTTAAACACTTCATCTAATCCATCTTCTCTTTTGTAGGTCCTTAAGGGACTATAAGAGGTTTCGGGGAGAATGACCCTTTGCAAACAGACACGCAAGGGTGCTGCATGACTTAGACAAACCCAGCTAAGTCCGTGACATATGGTATCAGAACGAGATAAACACACTTTGAAACACGTAGCATGCAAATATGAGGGAACTAACAAGGCTGTGTTGAGGGCAGTTAGCACGTGTGACTGTTTGAGGGAAACAGGTGTAGAGATGTAGGGAAAAAAGTCGCTTAGATTAACACGGGAGTGTCTAATTTGCTACAATCTGCTCATATGAACCTTGCTGATGTTATGGTATATTTTTCAGCCCACAATATTGCTTCATAGTTTTCAACTCAGCATACTCAATTATGACAGCTCATGAGCATATTCCCTACACAAAGTTACAGCTATTTCAAAGTGCTTTTCTTCATGACTATATGAAAAGAGTTCTCGGTATGGGTCAAAAGAAGGTTATATGAAAGGAGAAAATTCCAAGCCTACTGTCCAGAGCAAGGTATTAAAAGTGCAAGACAAGGGTGAAGGATCTGCTAGCAGCAAACAAACACCTAATTCTTCTACCCCAAGTGGCTGAAAATGTTTCAAATGTCATGGTTTTGGGTATATTGCTTCAGATTGTCCAAATAGAAGAATTGTTACATTGGTTGAAGATCATAGTGATGGAAGAGAAGATGAATCCGACGACGAACCAAAATACGATGATGATGAGGAAGAGGTTACTTATGTTGATCATGGTTTGTCTATTGTATTGCAACGTAGCTTACAAGTGTCCTATGTGGCCAAGGATGAAAGTTGGGTGAGAAAGAACGTGTTTCACACTAAATGCACTTCTCATGGCAAGGTGTTCTTGGTGATTGTCGATAGTGGCAGCTTTGAGAATGTGGTATCTTTGGAGATAGTGCAGAAGCTAAAGTTGGACACAATCCCTCATCCACATCCTTACCAATTATGTTGGCTCCAAAAAAGAAATGACATCAAGATAACTAAAAGATGTTTAGTTTCGTTTTGTATTGGTAAGTATTATAAAGATGAAGTATGGTGTGACGTTGCTCCTATGGATGCTTGTCATTTGTTATTGGGAAGACCTTGGCATTATGCTAGAAGGGTGTTGTCTGATGGCTACAAACATACTTATTCTTTTAAGGTGAATGAAAAGAAGATTATTTTAGCTCCATTACAACATTCTAAAATCAGTGCACCAAAGAAGGAAATTAGCGCTTTTATATCCTATGGTAAATGCAAGGGTGAATTAGACAGCGGTGGTCATGTTTTGGCTCTAGTAGTAGTAGAGGAGGATGAACAACACAAGGAGACACCAGTAATCATGAAACCGATCCCCGAGGAGTTTCAAGATGTTGTACCTTAAGAGATTCCACATGGTCTTCCACCTTTGAGAGACATCCAGCATCATGTTGATCTTATTCCGGGGGTTGTTCTACCTAATAAGGCAGCATACAGAATGAGTCCCAAGGAGCATAAAGAACTTCAAAGGCAAGCGGATGAATTGGTAAAAATAGGGTTAATTCGGGAGAGTATGAGTCCTTGTGCGGTTCCAGCTTTGTTGGTGCCTAAGAAGGATGGTTCTTGGAGAATGTGTGTGGACAGCCGCACTATCAACAAAATCATAATGGACTATCGTTTTCCTATTCCAAGGTTAGATGATTTACTTGATCAATTGTCTGGTGCTTCTATTTTCTCTAAAATTGATTTGAGAAGTGGCTATCACCAAATAAGAATGAGGCTTGGAGATGAGTGGAAAATAGCCTTTAAAACTATACAAGGCTTATATGAATGATTGGTTATGTCATTTGGATTATCTAATGCTCCTAGCACTTTTATGAGATTTATGAATCACATACTTAAACCATGCATTGGAACTTTTGTTGTGGTTTACTTTGATGACATATTGGTATACATCAAGAGTGAAGAGGAGTATATGAATCATCTTAAAGAGATTTTTCTTATTTTAAGGCTGCAGAAGCTTTATGCTAATTTAAAGAAGTGTGATTTCTTTACTCCTAGTCTTGTGTTTTTGGGGTATGTTGTTTCAAAAGATGGAATAATGATGGATCAAAGTAAAGTAGAGGCTATTCTTAATTGGTCAACACCTGCTTCATTTCTTGAGGTAAAGAGTTTCCATGGCTTAACTTTCTTTTATAGAAGATTCATCAAGGGGTTCAGCTCTATTGTCGCTCCAATAACCGAATGCTTGAAATGTGATAAATTCAAATGAACTAGTGAGGCTAATGATGCTTTTGAACTATTAAAAAAAAATGTGACCGAAGCTCCTATCTTAATATTACATAATTTTGACAAGGTGTTTGAAGTTGAATGTGATGCATCTAATGTGGGAATTGATGTTGTTTTAAGTCAAGACGGAAAGCTTATTGCCTTTTTTAATAAGAAGCTGAATGATACGAGAAGGAAATATTTTACCTATGACAAGGAGTTTTATGCCATTTATCGAGCTTTATCTCATTGGAGTCAGTATCTTCTTGTAAAGTCATTTATCCTATATTCTAATCATGAAGCTTTAAAATTCATTAATCAGCAGCACAAGTTAAACAAAAGGCATGCAACTTGGGTGGAGTTCTTACAATCTTATAACTTTACAATCAAGCTCAAATCAGGTATTCAAAATGTAGTTGCTGACGCTCTAAGTAGAAAGCATTCTTTATTATCAGCAATGGAAGTCAAAGTGGTTGGATTTGAAACGTTCAAAGATCTATATGAGAATGATGTAGATTTCGGCTCAATATGACAGAATTGCAAATCAGGTTCCTTTCAATAATTTTCTATCTGTAATGGTTTTCTTTTTCAAGATAATGCCTTGTGTGTACCATCTTGTTCTTTGAGACAAGTAATTCTAGCTGAAGCTCATGGTGGTGTTTTGGGAGGACATTTCTGTAGGGACAAGACTCTAGCTCTTTGTTCAATCAAATTTCTATTAGCCTAAGATATTTAGAGATGTGGAGAGGCATGTGAAGCAATACCGAGTGTGTCATTTGGCAAAAACAAGAAGTCAAAATTCTAGTTTGTACACTCCATTGCCAGTGCTAAATGCTACATGGGAGGATGTGAGTCTTGATTTCATTTTGGGACTGCCAAGAACTCTAAGGAATAAGGATTCTATCATAGTTGTTGTTAATAGATTTTCAAAAATGTCTCACTTTGTTCCCTACAATAAATCGAATTATGCATCTCATATTGCTGATTTATATTTTAAGGAGATTATTAAATTGCATGGTATTCCAATAACTATGATGTCTGATCGAGATTTAAAATTTATTAACCATTTTTGGAGAACTCTTTGGAGGAAGTTGGATACTTCTTTGAAGTTTTGCAGCTCTCATCATCCACAAACCGATGGGCAAACTGAGGTAACGAACAGAAGCTTGGGAAACTTACTTAAAAACTATGTTGGCAAGAACATTAACCAATGGGATCTCATTCTTCCACAAATTGAGTTTACCTACAATCGTTCCATGCATCATAGCATTGGTAAGAGTCATTTTAAGATTGTTTATGGTGCTAATCTTACTGGTCCTTTGGACTTAATCCCTCATTCTACAACTAAGCAATTTAGTAGAGATGCTGATGAAAGAGCTAAGCAGATAAAGAAGCTGCATGAGGGTGTTAAAGCAACCATTAAGAAGCAAAATGGGAGGTACATGCAAGCTGCCAACAAGCACAGAAAACACGTGGAGTTTAATACAGATGATTTGGTCTGGATTCACCTTTGGAAAGAGAGGTTTTCACTAAGCAAATTTAAAAAATTGAAACCAAAGGCTAATGGTCCATTCAAGGTGCTTAAGAAAATTGACAAAAATGCTTATGAGATCGAGCTACCTGAAGATTATGAAGTGTCCCCAACATTTAATGTGGCTAATTTAAGTCCTTTTCATAATCATGTTGATGAAACAAACAAGGACTTGAGGACAAATCTTTTTCAACCCGAGGAGATTGACACGGGAATGTCTAATTTGCTATAATCTGCTCATATGGACCTTGCTTATGCTATGGCATATTTTTTAGCCCATAATGTTGCCTCATAGTTTTCAACTCAGCACACTCAATTATCACAACTCATGAGCATATTATAACAAATTTACAGTCGTTTCAAGGTACTTTTCTTCATGACTAAGGAATG